CAAATTATTCATTATGTTAATTTCCTGTGAACTTCATATTGATTTATTGATTTTATTTTATTTCTATACAAAGTTGATCGTCTCATTTTGTTTTACCATATTTTCATGGAGATTCAACATATAATTTATAATGGAGTTTTCAAAATTGGGTACTATTAACAAATGATATATTATCATTAAATATATTTTTTTTAAATGCACAATTATTGAGACTGATAATTTGATAATTATTTTACCTTTTGAAACTGAGTATAGAAAAAACAATAGATTTGTAAACAAATAAGTGATAAACATTACCAAGTTTATTATCACACGTTCCAAATAAAAAAGTTGTGATGATTAGTGGAAAATGATATTTAAAAGGCATAAATATAAAGATCGATATACCAAGTTTATTACCAATATTTTTTTTTTGAAAGGCATAAATATAAAGATCGATATTCTAAAATTTTTATTACCTATTCAATTGAGATTTTATAAATATAGAGACTGAGATATTAATGTTTCGTTGTTTATATGAGAAAATAAAATAAAAATAAAAAATGCACACTTAATAGATCTTAGCGATAATTTTTAAATAATAAAATGAATTAAAGCCAAAAATTTAATGCAACATTAAATGTTGTATGAATTTTCAAAGATAAAAATAAAAAAATAATAAAACTTACTATTTATAGGTTGCATTAAATTCTCTCCTATTTTTTTGCTACTATTTTTGTTAAATGGTAATTCTTATTATATATGTATAGATTTGCGTAATTGCGGCTGATTTATTAAGGTAATATTAATCACATAAAAATTCTTTTTTTTTTATCTATTAATCATGCGATTTCAACTGATTTTTAAAGATACAATTTAAGTAATTGCGGTTGATTTATTATGGTAATACAAATCACATATATCAGTCTCTAATATCTCAAGGTACACATTCCCTAAAACACTAAAGTGTATCATTTGATTTGGGTAATCATATATTTAAGGAAAACTAATAAATGTCCACAATTAAAAAGAAATAAACTTTTAGGTTATTTGAATTATAAATTTTGAATTATTTATTTTATATTGTGTATTTTTTATATATAATAATAGAATTAAATATATCTTATAATTTTTTTCTAAAATGTTTATTTATTATGATTTTTTTAACAATAAAAATACAACTGACCATATATAAAAACGTAACTAATAAATATCCACAACAACAAAAAATTAAATTTATTTAATTGCGTGTAAAGCGATATCAATATTCGATATCTGCCTATATAATCAATTCTAAAGATTAATTCGATCTTCTACTTTAAAAATGCGTAGAATGTAATCAATACAATTTGTATGAAAGTTCTAAAAATAAGGAAATGAACTTTCAATAAAAAATTTATCTACTGAAATGGATATATATTATATATAGATACCTAACTAATACAGATACTTAAGACAATAATATTCGAATTTATATTTTATATGTGTCTCGAGATATTCAAAATAACCAAGTTGTATATAAAGATTTTTTTGCAAAATATGTGATAGATACCAATTTATAAATAAAAAATGTGTGCTGAGATATCACTTTGCAATATACAAAGAAATCTATTTTCAAATAAATCGGTTTTTGTTCAAAAAAGCATAATGAAATGTGTGAATATATGAAATTTTATTAACAAATAAGTAGGTTTTTTCCCACATCTACTCAAGAAAACGTGTTAGTACTGTCCAGGAAGAACCTTGCAACATATATAAATATTTTTTAAAATTAATTATAATATCAAATATCAAATCATTATAATTTGACATAAATAAATAATATTATCAAATTAATTAAATTGATGCAATTTCTAGACCACGAGTTGTGTTTTTTACAATATTTTCAAATCAAAATAATTTTGGAATTTAATTCAATTAAGCATTTTACTAACTCTATAAATTGATAGACAAGTCATGTAATAACTCACACGCTTTATTCTTTTTTAATTTTGCTTTTAGTCAATTACAATAGTTTTCAACATGAAGTGCAAATACAATTTCCCAAAGCAAGTTTCAAGAACCGATAAAACATGTTTGATGTTGCGGGTAATTTGAATAATTATTCGCATTGAATATAAAAACTACATGGAAATCCTATTTCATGACGAAGAGATGAATTTCATTTATTTTCATTGCAATTCGTGTTCTTATATAGATAATAATACTAAAACTAATATTAACATTATAATTCGAAGTTTATTATAATAACTTTAGTACTCATGTGTTTGAATGTAAGGTACCATATTGGTTGTCACAAAACTATCCATTCATGTGCTTGATTGTGAGGTATTGATTGGATCTAATGCATGAGAGAAGGTGTTGATACTTCATATGACTAACACTTTCCGACTTTATAGTTTTTTTTAAAATTTTAGCGGAGGCAATTTCTCCTAATGGTTTTTTATGCCATGACGATTAGAAGGTGCACTGTTTTTTTATCACATGTTGGCATGTTCTTGAAGAAGTCGGTATTCAGTTACGGCCAGTTGTATGTAGCTGTTTCCAATGTCACTAATCGAAATGGCTTGAAAATATTAGTTTGCGAAGAAGATGGTGTGCCTACAAGTCAAAAAATATTCTCTACAATGAGTTTTTAATAATATATAATAGTATTCGTTATTCTATTTATTTAATTATCTTTATTAACGAATATAATAATAAGACTGGGTAAATAATCTTAAAACAGTGCACCTCGTGCATTGCACGGGATCTGCACTAGTAGTAATTATAAATAGGACTCGAGTTTGAGTCACATAATGGCTAGACAATCAAATTTTTTCAACAAATTTACATATTTTAACATTCAAATGTCATACTTTAATATTTGACATTTTATTTTATTTATAAATAGGCATTTTTTATGAAAAAAATATGATTGCCTAATATTTAGACAACCTAACAGCGGTCTTTGTGTTAGTCTTGGTCATCAATCTCACTATCATTTATTCCTTAGGGTGTTATTGGATATGGGTCCAACTAAATAAAAAAATAGCCATTAATTAATTCAGTCACTTTTTTTTTTTTGTTTTTTTCGGTACAAAGAAGGAGGCCAAAGGCCTAGAGGATTGGTCAAGCTAAAACGCGTCGGGGATACGAAACCCCCATAATATCATGATCAAGCCATGGTCCTAAGCCTACAGGAGGATCTGGTACTCGTTGGAGACCAAGCGGAGATGAGGCCGCCAAACTCGCCATGTGGTCTGCTGCGAAATTAGCTTCTCTATGCACATGGTGGATCTTCACACTCCAATTATTCTGTAAATAGTATCAATTCAGTCACTTTTTCAACTCAAACTTAACACAACGCTATTGTTCTCAATATAAGTAAATAGTATCAATATATCATTTTTACACACCATATCAACTTTAATTAACCATTCATCAATTCACATAATTTTAACCAAACATCACTTCATATTGATGTCTCCTACTTTTACATCAAATAAATTTATATTATTTTATTTTAAATACTATTTTAATATAATTTCAAAATCCCACTAACAATTAACATAGCACATTTTTGTAAAATTAAATATGGTTAACAAAAAATCCAATTAAAACCAAATCAAAATCATATTCAACCACACCTGTGTTCTCCTATATTTGAGATGCCCTATCATTTTATTCCCTGTCATTTTCTCAATATATACATACTACAAGAATGGTGTAAAAAGGAAAAAAAAAAAAATACTATAAAAAACCTAAAATAAAGAGCTAAAATCTATAATTTTTTTTTCATAAGTAGGGATGCTGTTGGAACATCAGCGGAATATAGATTTTAAGAAATATAGTTAGGTATGTTTAGAATAAAGAGACTAGTTTGGTCTTAGGATAGGACACCCCGATCATGTCATGATGTAACCATACTCCCGCCCCTGGCGGGGGAGATTCCAACCGATGAAGTCCCCCTGGACTCTTCGCCGCCAAAGAAGCCAAATAGTACGCAACAAAGTTGGTTTCCCGATATCCATGGATAACCTCCACAGACCAAGTACGTCCCAGAAGCTTCTGTACTCCATTCAAAACGTTCCCATACGGCCCAATATGGGTATCATCCTGTACCATTGCAACGATACTTTGACTGTCAACTTAACTTTAATTTTTTGGGCTTTAATATCCCAAGCTAATTGCAGAGTACTCTGGAACAACCCCTATAGCTCTGTCCTAGTGATGGAGCAGAAACCGATATTCATTAGGAAATCCCGCACCCAGTTTCCATGGTGGTCACGAATGACCCCACCTGCACTTGCCATCCCCATCACCGGAATAGAACTGTCATCCGTATTGACCTTCAACTCATCCGTCGTCGGGGCTGACCAAGAGATCCGCACCTAATTCTGAGATAGTTTCGTTGCGTAGGCGTTGCCTTCTTTTCCTGTACCAAAATTAAAAAAGAGCTAGTTAGGTCTTAGGTTATAACAAGGTTATTAAAATAAAATTTAACTTATAATACTTTATTTTAAAAATAATTAATTGTTTAAGGACCATACAATTATCCAAATAGCGATCACAACCTTCGAATAAATTAAAATATAATATATTTTCTATAATGAAAATAATTTATATTTTGATAAGCTACTTATCCCATTTAGTTCTATAAAGGATTCATTAGGGCACATTTAGATACAAAAATTAACCTATTTTGATTCACAAAACAATGTTTTTACACTTTTTTAAGTTAAAATTTATTTTAAATTTAATTAACTATTTATCAATTCACATATTTACATCACATCAACTTTAATAATTATATTTTAAAAGTATTTAAATATAAACTACAATTAGCATTCAATGTTCTGCCCGATCAATTTTATTTAAAATTAACTTAAGTTAACTAATAAATTTATCAAAATTAATTTTATTTATTTATATCCAATGGCTAGTTGAAACTTAAAACCAATTGCTTACGTGGGGTATCTTCGTAATATCAATAAAGTTCGGTGGCAACAGGAAAGTCCGATTTAATTTCCAACGAATCGCGTTAGCCCGCGCTACAGCGGAAAACACCTCACACTCTGCAACTCTACTGAAAAAAGAAAAGCTCACATTAGCTTTATTTTTGCAGACGCTGTTACGCGAATGCAACCGTATATATAGAGCCACCGCCCCTGTTATCTCTTCAAATCAATCGGCAATGGCGAGACGAGACGACTCGAATTCGTTTGAGGAAGAACTCGAAGTGAATCCGTTTTCGGTAATTGATTTTAATTTTGAGTTTTTTTTTTTTGGATTTGTCTGGATTTACGATCTCCGTATTGTTCGAGATCTCGTTTGTTTTCTTTCTCTTTGATCATATCTGCTTTTACTTGGTATAGATCCGAGGATCGAGGTTTGGTTGATTTTGATTGTGAGGTGAAATGATTTTTTTAGTATGTGTTTATTTTTATTTATTTTTTATTTTTTGGTCTCTGGTTCAAGGAAATTAACTGAGTATAGATTGTTAGTGTTAATCATAGTTCTGATCTCATGGTAGCTTGAATTTCATTTATAAAACGATGCGTGTTATAAGGTTGATCAGCTGGTAATGATGTGATGAGTGCTGAATGTGGGATGCCGAATTTACTTACCATTTTGGTTTTGAATCGGTTCGGTTCTTAGTTCTCTGCAGATACAATCCTGTTGTCGACTGAGAAATTAATTTGGACAATGCTCTGTGAGAAATTAGGTTTTATAAGTATAGATCTAAAGATGTAGTCCATATGATAACTGAGAAGCATGATTACTGGTGTTGTCAGAGCCAATATGTGATAGAAATTTGGATTTAACTTTATTCGATATAAATCGATTTAATCCCAGGAGCATTCATATTGAACAATCGAGAATCATACCGAAGAGCGGAAGGATTCATGTTGATTGATCTCACTAGAATTGAATTGGGATTTTGGGATTGGATTTGGAGTTCTTCCAAAAGCCGTGAACTGTAACCTCTCCTCTTCTGACGTAATGAAGAATAAAACTTATAGAGAGAGTGGGGAAACCCTACGGTTTTTATTCTTCTTATCACTTTATGATGAATTGCAAAAGACCCCTTTTATTTATCACGGTTTTGGGGACTTCACCCATTATTAATTTTGGCCCAAATTAATTGCTAATTAGGTCCTTAAGTGTAATATTATTATTTGTTACGTCACCAAATAATAATATTACTGGGTGTCTACATTTAATCATTCCACAATCTAAATTAAGTTCCTTAGCCAATGTACATAATTTGATCACTTAATTTGACTAAACAATATAATGACCCATGAATCAAATACACATGTTTAATTCCAAAATAGATCTTACAATATGAAGTTAGATTTCTGAATTTTGCCTCCCTATGTGGCATGTGCTACACTGTTATGAGGACTATCAGTATATTTGAACTTTGGATACATGTGTCGAAATTTCAAATGGAAATATTCGATCTGGTTGATCTGGGAAGAGTACTTTTTATACTGCCTTCGTGCAGAATGGTGGTGGGGCTGCCAGTTCGGGTCACGCATTCCTTACGTGGTTGCTATTTGCTAATACACTGGGTTTTGGCCAGTAATATGATGCCGTTAATGATATACCGTTAGATACAGTGAATGTAATAATGCATATGAAAGTATACCTGAGAACCTCAGGTATTCCATCTATATTCTAATACTCACAGACTCTTATATTTTATTCAGGACTCGAGGAAGAAGGATAAAGAGCTTGCTGCATGGGAATCAGATTTGAACAGGAGAGAAAGGGTAGGTGTTCTCTTCAGCTTTTACTTGTTTAACGGCTAAACGCATGAATTCTCTACTACTGTTGTATATTTCTGATTTGACTGCAATGATTATTGTATACTTTCCCTCTGCATTGTGTTTATACTATGTTAAGAGGGTTAATTCATCAGTTTGATAGTGTAGAGTGGTAACTTGGTAATCAATATGATAGATATTTGTATATTCCTATGAACTGGTTAGCTTAAGGAAATGCAATATTCTTGAAATTTGAAAATGCAATGTGTGCTTTTCAATGGCTATTCAGGAAAAATGTTGTGCTGAGCTGTTCAGTGGATTAACTTTCATCTTATCTGTTTCATGCATCTCTTATGCCAATGTAAGTTTAATCTGTTTTTGTTGATTTTAGGAGATCAAGCGTAGGGAAGAGGCTGTTGCTGGAGGTAAGCTTTGAGACTATCATCATTTATAGAACTAGTTCTAGTGTCTCCCTTGTTCCTAATATTCTATGCCAACCTTTTTTTTTTATTCAGCTGGTGTTATTGTGGATGATAAAAACTGGCCCCCATTTTGTCCCATTATTCACCATGATATAGCCAACGAAATTCCAATCCATGCTCAGAAATTGCAGTATCTGGCTTTCGCAAGTTGGTTAGGTGTGTGTTTTGTTCTCCCCAGTTTACTTTTACGTCTGATACATCTCAAAAACTTTTTGATTGAATTATGTAATAATTTAACATCAGTTTGGTTACATGGTAGAGATCAATCTCCATTAGTTATTTGCAGTTTGTTTGCACTTACAGGTATGTTTCGTAAGTCTTTGGTAGCTATAGCACAAACGTATAAGCCGTTAACATTGAAAGTTCCAGTGCTTATTGGCACTATTTACTCTTACTGTTGATGTGTGCTTACAGAGGTAGCTCAGTATAGTATTCTGAAAAAAAATTGTGCATGTTCAGCAGATACATGTATAATTTGAATACGTGCTCATACTTCTTGTGAACAGATTCAGCTGGCCTACATCTGTATTTCTGCCTTTCCCCATCTTTTCAATTAAGGATTTTACTGGCGGTGATTGCTTCTTAAGGAAATGTGAAGGGTTGAATTAACTGGAGGCAGTACTTTTGAAACAGAGAAGCTTATTGTTCCAAATTCTTCTCACACCCTCTTACTGCGTGTTTGGTTGAACTTTCTTATAAAAGGCTTCATACGGAGTACAATGTGATAACAAATTGAATGTTCAATAGCAAGTTGAGCAGGGACCTAAATTTTGCCTTTCTTTTTCCCCCAATTTTCATGCTACTTATCAAAATTGTCACATTGTTTTTGTCGTTTTGTTTTTCATCTGATGGAGTGACCGGTACCTTCTAATAATTTTGGATGCAGGCATTGTCTTTTGCCTCTTTTTCAATATCATTGCCATCACTGTTTGCTGGATAATGGTTGATGGTAAGTCTGATTCTTTAATTTTATGATTTTCTTTTCCAAATTTTTGGTGCATTATGATTTACGTCACACATAGCTGTCAGGTTTAAATATTGTGCTAAAAATTTGATGTACTATATGTAGGGGTCAAGATCTTCCTCCTTGCAGTAATATACGCCCTACTTGGATGGCCTCTCTCGTATGTGCTTTGGTACCGGCCTTTATACCGTGCAATGAGGTACATGAAGTCTCTTAATAATCTTTCCTTGGGGATTTATCGGGTCTTGGAGTTAAAAAGGCAAAATTTTCGTAATTATGATTTTCAGGACTGATAGTGCACTGAAATTCGGCTGGTTTTTCTTGTTCTACTTGGTGAGTCTCGTTTGTTGCCATTAAATTTATTCCATAATGACTATAGCCTATTGGTTTTGACTCCTTCAACTCAACTGCACCATGCAGCTCCATCTTGGTTTTTGCATAGTTGCTGCAATCGCACCCCCTATTTTCTTTTACGGGAAATCATTAACGTAAGATTCCTCTCGGTTTCTTTTTTTTTTTTCACCTATGAGAGTAGGTTATTTATGTTCCCTTTTGGTTCTTTTCGCTTGAACATGTCTGAAAATTTCGTGTCTTTCTCTTGTATCAACCCATATTTTATGAGTCAATTTCAATATTACCAGGGGCATACTTTCTGCTATTGATGTCATCTCCACCAATGTGTTGGTAGGGGTAAGTCTTAATTGGCCTAAAAAATAAATTTTGCTAGCTCAAATAGCATTTCGGTTTTATATTACTTTCAATGATTTTTTTTTTTTTAATTATCATTTATGCAAATTGTAATTGAAGTTGTGCATTTGCTACATCGCATTCTAATGCAGATTTTCTACCTGATTGGATTTGGTTTGTTCTGCTTGGAGTCGCTCTTGAGCTTGTGGGTACTCCAGGTTAGAACATCGTCAACTGAATTCCAGAACAACTATACTCAAGTGTTATACTCTAAAAAAATAACATAAATAGAAAGTATGATATTTCATCGCATAAGTATGCATTTTTGTTCAAGTATGACTGGTCAATTCCCCTATCGATTAGGTGTACTCATATAAGAATTTGAGTAAAACCATTATCTTTTAACAACTACATTATTGCAATTACAATAAGCTTATAGAGTAAATGAGTAATTGATATGACACCATTTTAACATCTCTCTCTTTTTTTTTTTTTTAATTGGAAAAAAATAGTAATCATATTTTTGGATGTTGGCTGTCTTCTCTACAGAAAATATACAGGTACTTTAGGGGGCACAAGTAAAAATCATGGGGCACAGTAAAATTGCTCTAATGGGGAATACACTTATACAATATACCGTTTGGTTCTTTCGTTTTTTGTAGTATGAATCCTTTAACTTTTTTTCATTCACATATGTTCCGTAAACATTGCAAGTACACTGTCACTACATATACTGCATGACAGCTTCAGTTCTTTATTTTTCAAACTTTTTTTCTTCGTCTTTTTCTCTGGTGATTTTCGCTTTCTTGGTCAATAAACCGTTGATTTTTTCCTTTTATCTTGCACATTGTTTGGTAATTTTTTTCCAAGCTATAACTATTTTAAGGAGTTCTGTATATTATATGGAGAAAATTGCACCATATACTAACAGTTTACATTTTAATTGCAATTATGTACAGGCCTTGTAAATATTCACATTTTAACATGATGATCACTTTTTAATTGCAAAAATACGATTGATATTATCTCACGTGATTAAAGGTAAAACTTATCCCTTCCATAATAACTACTCACTATTAATTGGTAAGTTATTATCTCACACACATCTAGGTAACCTCCCAATTTCAACCAAGTCAACACAAGTTCTCCTCATTTCTACCACCACCTCTGTAACCGAAACCCTATCTCCCATCGTCTCTCTCCCACTACGTCCTTTGCACCCCAGTTCAGCCATGGCAAGAACTAAGTTCGGAAGAAGTCCGAACTCTGGCGCTGAGATACCCCCTTACCGAAGATCGAGCTCTCGCCTTCAAAAGTTACAAGGCAAAAAAAAAAAAACCTACAGTCGTGCAAAAAAAGCTCAACTTCGAAAAATTTATGAAACCCAATAACCCTACGAAATCACCGCGCAAGAATAGAAACGAAAATAGTGATTCTCTATCAGATCCCCAACATTTTCGGTCGGACCCAGTTGACAAAAATAAAGAAGGTGCACGGGGACGGAGTAAAGGAAATAGACAGCAAATGCTAGAAAATTGGGCAAATTCTGATTCCGATTTCGAAGATGAATTTCAGAAAGAAGATGGTGAAAATGAAGCATTCTCGAGCGAAGAAGACACTGACGAGCCACAAATTGAAGAAAAAGACAAGAAACGAAAATTGAAAGATTAATCGAGATATGACCCGTCAAAGAAGAGGTCCAAGCCAAGTGTCGATTTGAGAAATTCGAACGAGAATTTGGATAGAAGTGCCAAGGTAAATGCCCAATTTTCTTCAATTATCCGTCACTTTATATAGTATTATGAGAGAAATATTATATTTTTTTTTCTTTGTTTGGGTGATTGAATATATGAATGGCGACATTTCATGACTTTTTGTACTTACTTGTGGATGTGGGGGTTGTTGATTTTCACAACATAAGTTAGTTCTGATGGATGTGGTGTTTGTTTAATATGTATGCTTTATGTGATCCCGTCGTTGGCCAAAGTTATATTGTATGTATTATGTATATGTCAAGCATATGTGTACATACCAAACATCTTTATATGCATTGTGTATATTTCGTGTATATAAGACATGTTATGGGACATGCATATATATTTTTATATTCATTTCATCAGAACATATATGCGTTTTCAACTAAGCGTAACATAGTTGACTATTCATATAACCATAACAGGGGTTATTTTTTGTGTGCTTTTTTTTTTTTAATGTTTATTTTTTTTTTCAGTGGCTGTGGTGTGTTTGTTGCATCATTCGCCGAGCACTTCATAGTCGATGTCAACATTACACGGAAGAAGTACTATCCCAGTTTAGAGAGGCATAGATATGCATACCTGCTTATGAAGATAGAAAATGATCTTGATAGCGAAGATGAATCTCCCGGCACACTCTCGGACACTTTCCGTTTCAGTTGAATTAAATGATTTGGTTTTGTTATGTTTGGTGAAATGTTGACACTACTTAACTTTTGGTTTGTGTTTGGTGACACTTCCCGTTTTAGTTTATTTAGGATTTTGTTATGTTTGGTGAAGGCACAACTTAACTTTTGGTTTGCGTTAGTATTAACAACATTATAACTTTTGACGCTACTTAATTTTTATTTATTTTTTTTATTTGTGACTTCAATTTTTTTGTATCTACTATCTATTAACATATTAATATTAACATATTACAAATGAATATAAATTGTATATGATCTGTATAAAATTTTGTTATATATACATGTCTGACATACCAGTACAATACAAACTGAACTTTAAAAGCATATAAACTGCAGAAAAACACTTTTATTGAATATGATTTATATATGATCTGTATATATTACGGAACACATACCTAAATTTTCAAATATTATCTATAGCGAATATTATATTACTATGTATATCATTTGTACATAAATGTATATGACCTGTATATAATATGGAACCCAGAATCTGTGTATACGTTACTTGGTGTTTACCTACATATAATACGGATCACATTCCGGATACTTAAAATATTATCACAGTGTCGTTCTAACTTGATTGCATATGCTCTGTTTATGTTTTGTATATAATCTGTATATGTTATTTTCGTGTATGAGTTGTATTTTTCTTGTCTGTGTATTTTCAGTATTTTAGGAGAGATAGTACGTTTCAAATTCAAAATATGATTCCTTCCAACTTACCTAACAAATAGGTTCCTAACAATTAAGTTATATCCACTTACCTATTTTTTTCCAACTGACTTGCGTGAGAGAGATAGTTTGCTTGAGAGAGAGTGCGTGATTCATGCAAACTGAAACCCTTAATTAGCGGCCAGTTTTAATTCAGCCTAAAATAAAGACACTGACCCCAATTAAGTATTATTGCTAATAAATTAGTCTATATCGTAAAATTGCAATATCTTAATATTCTTGTGGTAAGAGAAAAATTTCGCCTATTATATGATGAATTGATTTTGCTCATCAGGCTCATGCCCTGCACAAATGGGCCCGAAGTCCGAAGCATGTGGCCCAGAATTCAGTTGGATCAAACAAAAGTCTGTGTGGCCCATAAGCAATAGTGGAAAAGTATTTTTGTGGACCAAATTCAAATTTCAAATGGATTAAAAAGAGATTGTCTCCAATTCCATATCTGCCCTTTACACTCCTACACTCTCACCTCACACCCCTCATCTACTCGCTAGCCACTCTCCTCACGACATGTGGCACAAAAAATAATCCAAACCTCATTAACAAATGTCCACCAACCCTTTTCTCCATACCTACATTTATCATAACTAGTACAGAGCCCGTGCGTTGCACAGGGTGCACAATTTTAAGGCTATTTATCCAGACTTATAATTATATACATGAATAAAGAAAAATGTACGGAATATATATAGTACGTGACCCGCGAGATATATTTATTTGGAGAATATTATATTATAAGATGCAATATTCAATAAAAGTTTATAATACGCAAGAAATTGTACGATGTTCAATAAAAATTTTATAATATTCAAGTGGAGTCTTAAAGTCTCTTGTACATTAAGACTACTGACAAAATAATATTTTAATCAATGAGTTTCATTTCCT